ACAAAAAAAAAAAAAAAAACCTCCCTGATGCCCTGTGCCTTTTGAGAAGTTCACATCATGTTTCAAACTAGTCAATCCAAACTTTATCTGCCTATGTCGTGACTGTTTTAAACGATAAACCATTTGGCAGAGTCATACCGAAAACTCCTTTGTAGAATGTAGCGAGAGGAAGCAGCTATGGCAACACCAGCAACTACATGGTGCCGTATGCACCAAAAGGACAAGTATGGAAAATATTTTTAAAAAACATAAATAAATCAAAAAGTGACTCTTTTCTCGCTATCCTTCATGAGTATGACACGTGCGAGAAATGTTGCTCTTCATCATCACGGAGGAGATTATTAGTGACCTTGGAGCGACTCAGCAACGTGTTTTGGGGCAGTAGTAACATAGTATAGGGCCTTGTGCCAATATTAACTTTGAAGATAGACGTGCCTAATTTGCCAGTGGTCGTGCTATCATGCTCATTTGTATTCAAATATTGCCACATGCTTGAGGCACACCGCTTTGAATTTGCTGTACTGACTCCGCACCCGACTCACCTACAGTTTTTTTTTTTTTTTTTTGGCATCCATGTTGTTAATCCCAAAACACTTCATTGCAGTGGTAAAGGCGACGTGCCAACAAATCGAGTCGGCAGAGAATACAAAGAGAGGAAAAGGGGGAAAAAAAAAAAGAGGAGAGAGGATGGGCGGGGCGACACAACCAAAGTGGCAGAACAATTAAATGCTTTTGGCAGAAGTCCAATTGACCTGGTAGCCACATTGCCTTTGATTCAACAGAATAATAGCTTTATGTTCAATTAAACTGGCCCCAATTTCACACATAAGTGAATTTCTGGGTAAATTGAGATGAGATTATCATTCTTACATACTGTGTGGTGACATGCTTTTGGCAGCTTTGGTGCTGTGCGGAGTGACTTTGCTAATATAAAATGTGTGCCATTGGCACAATGAAGGGTGAGAGAATAGAATAGTATTGATGGGGAAGTTGAAACAAAGTGGAGGTCCAAACTTTGCAAAGCAAAATTTTCAACATCACCTCTGCTGGTGTTTAGCCAAGTATTTGAATGAATGTATTTATTTCTTTGTTTCGGTTCATCCATCCATTTCCTGATCCGCTTTATCCTCACAAGGGTCAAATCATTATCTTGCCCAATCCTTGTATTCATTGTGCCCTCCGTCAGAACATTACACTTGACTTCACACATTGTTTTGACCAGGATGCTTGAGACTTGCCTGAAAGCAGATTTAGGAGTGGAGGAATTTGAGAGCCTTGACCTCATTGCATCGAATACCCCTGGGATGGACAAGAACGTAGATTGTGAACCGAGCCCTCATTTTCAACATCAGTGACCTCTGAACTACACAAACATGCTTGACAGTCTTCTCAAAAGATTGGAAGTTGATATAACTGCAAAGGGCGAACTTCATATGTCCCTCTATTTTCGCTTCCAGTCGGTTGAATGGCCAGGTGTCTTTTTGGTCATGCTGTGTATGGGAGTTAACTTTCTGTATATGTTGTTATTCAGAGCAGTCGTGTTGTTTGCCATTATGCAATCAATGTAGGAAAGACGTCCGAGCTCGATGTTTCTAAACAATATCTAACTTATCGAGTGTGTCAGACGGCGTAATGTCCCTGATGATGAATTATACTGTATCAGTGGGCTGTGTCTCGAACATTCAAACAAGGGTGGCCCATTGGGAATTGAAGGTACAAAATGGAATACTCTGCATCAGTTCATCCTCTTCCCTGGTTATGGTGAGTAACCGTTCTGTACCGTGCTTTCGCTGGGCAAGTGAGGCTTACAAATCATCTGAGTTGAAGGTGCTCGGTGCAAGGTTTTACTGCCTGTCTTCTGTGAATGGCTCCCTGAAGGCCCCAATGATAATAGCTCACAGCCGTACCCTTCACGGAGCCTGACATTTAGCACACCCCTACAGCAGAGTGGAATGGCATATCAACTTGCCCAATGGGCTGTCATATCAACTCATCCACCGCTTTCTGGCCATAACATGGGCAGAGGATGAAATGCAATGCTGCTAGCAGGAACTTGCTTGTTGAGGTTCACTCACTTTGGAATTACAACATAAACTTTTGTAAGATGTAAGTCAGCAGGCGCTGTGTACCGCATGATATATTCGGAAAGTTTCTTCAATGCAATTTCGATGAGAAATGAAAATTCATGAGAAGAAACGCTACAGATATCAACTTCAAAATAAAAGTGCACCAAGGCACTGATGTCCATATCCTATTTAGTTAAGTAAAGTTTATTTTGGAGTTCTTACCGCGTTGGGATGCGTTACTGTCATGCATAGCATTTGTTGCTGTGGTTAGCTTGACTTCTTCCTGACCGTGTACATTAAAATAAGTGAGGAAGAAAAAAAAATGCCTTAAGCATATTTTTTTAACCGAGGCACCCAAATTACTCAAGCACTCGTTTCAGCCCTAAAATGTTCAAATAGCATGTTCGAGAGACGTGTACATGTACGACATGAAGAGAAGGTGCTCCATTAAAAAGCTATACATGTGAATCTGACACGCTCCGTATGAGCTGCGTGGTTACGCTAATGCTAATCTAATGTCCATGCTGTGAAAGCCTGCTCTAGTCTACTGTACATCTGTGACAACAGCAGCACAACCCGGGAATATACGTACTAGTCTGTCTGTTGATTACCACAAAAATTGACTGAAGTCAGCAAAAGGATAATACGATGGACGTATATGACAATGAAGTGCTAAAACAGCAACTGCTGGACTAATGAGCAAACAACAGTGGTTGAGCTACATTACCAACATGGTGTCAAGTGCGAGAAATAGTAACTCAGCTCACGCTTCCTGATAATACCTGGTTTTGCAAATGGAAAAGCATCAATGGTAAATAGAGTCACGTTGAGGATCTGAGTGGGAACCGTGCAACGGAAAAGGGATAAGAGCCTTAATAAGATGCCTTAAAACCAGCGCACTCGCCCTAGAAATTATTTGTCACTGTATTGAAGCCTTCAGTTGAGTATTTTCCGCCAGGATTGCAACCAACTAAACCAGAACAGGTATGAGATTTTTGAAGTGTGCAAGCTGTTTGTGAAATGCAAAAAAGAAGAAAAAAAAAAAACAAGACATAAAAAGGAGTTATTCATCCAGCCAACCATCCATCATAACTGGCGCTACGGTGAAGCCAATTTCAACAAAGCTTCTAAGCTGATTGAGGCAGACCAAATCTGTTTCACCAGCTTACATTCCTTCAAAATAGCCATCTCACTTCCAATATCACGGGCTTTTACTGTTCCCCATTCCCCTGGCTCAGGCTGAGAGTTAGCAAGGCTTAGCTGGATGAAACACTCCACCAGGCTGGTTCTCCCCTGGAACCAGCCTGATATCTCCATAGAACAGCATCTCTCCACATAACTGCACTTAGCTGTTTAACATACTCATTCTAATACCCTTTTGTCTATTTTCCTACTTTGTATGATTGCGCTCATAACACACAAACCATTACGATTTCTGAATCGTTTGTGAATTTTGGACACTGGGGCCACAATATGCTGTGTACATCACACAAAACACTGTCAAACGGAATAGCTTCAATTCACATCAGACAGATGAGAGGCAAATTCTATGAAACAGGTACAGTATGTTCCCAGAAACAGATGGCAGTGGCTGTCATCTTCTCTCATTATGTGTAAGCAGGCGATCGAATGTGCGATTGTGTCTCATGTATTTGTATGCGCTAAAACGAGGAACATTATTACACCTTTTACTGTATGCGTACTCTCCTCCCTGGCCCCTTTCTGACAGTCTCTCCCACACACTTTCTGTCATTTTCGCCACAGCAGCAAATATCCTGTTGGCCCGAGCTGCGGGCTGCCGGTGCTGGCCTATCTAGCCCTGGGATCGATTCAGCTCCAAGTCGAGGCCTCCCATTCATCTCAGAGCCATAAAATGTGATTAGTGCTGACTACAGCACTGCGGGGAGATGGGCTGATTGGCCTGATAGGCTCAGATAGGGCGTGTTGGACACTCCGCAGGAAGACAAGGCGCAACAGTATGCTGAGGATTCATCCTAATTTTGCCTTTTTCTGTACCCCGATCTATTTGATTTTCTGTCGCTTGCATCGTCCTCACTCACTCACTCACTGCTCTCTTTGTTCTTGCACTGCTCCTTTGCATTGTCTCGGTTGTTGTTATCTAAGGCTGACAAGATTATCCGTGAAAAATGATCTCACAAAAGTAAGGATTTATTGCCAATGTTTCCAGTTTTACCTTCGTCTTATCCAACAAAGTCATATTTAAATAGCACACCCCACCAAGCTCCCTCCCCAAGCTTTGTTAACTGTCATCGCATACAGTGTATCTCTGTGCCATGTGACCACCTCTGTCCACCAATCGCAAAGCTCGCAGTTTGCCACTGGCAGAATCACCCTGGGAGACTGTGACAAGAACTGATGCAGGAAAAAGAAGATTGCCTCAATTCAGTAGGGGGGGGGGTATTGGAGGGGAGGGGGGCACTTTTTTTGTACACAACCAACTGATGGATGTTGGGAGCAAAGTCTAATTTGACAGTTTGTACGATTAATCTTAAATTAAGCTGCATTCAATTATGTGGCATTTGTTTTGTTACTGATGTGCTTCCCAATGATGACTCCCAAACCATATTGCATCGCGAAAATAACTGAATGAGCTTGATTTAAGATTGCCTGTTTTTAATTTGATTCAGCTATTTTAAAGTACTTACCGGTAAATATGTGTGTTCACCTGCAAAACTCTCAGAATGACAGAATCTGAATAGTAAAGTCTTAAGTATGTATATGGAGTTCAAATTTTATGTGTGAATAAAAACTGGCACCAAACATGGTACACTGATAAGACTTTCTAACTGTGGTGTTTGATTACATTTCATTCAACTATAGAAAAACATGTTTTCTCCTTAAGAATGTCTGGAATTACTCTATTTACCGTTTGACCGAATCCCTTGAGTGCCTTTCAAAACAGAGAACACTGACCTGTGTCTCTCGGACATTTTCCACGGTGAAGTTGAACCAGACGCGGAATCGGGGATTGCAGGTGTCGGGCCGGATAAAGAGGTCAAACTCAAATTCACTGATATAGTCAACACGGCCAAGGTTCCCTGCAGAAGCATAAGAGTTTACATGAGCGGGGATCATTTCTTCTGTACAGTAATCCTTCATTTATCGCGGGGGTTACGTTCCAAAAAGAGCCCGTAATAAGTCAGATCTGTGAGGAAGTCATCTTTATTTTTTTCCAATTATTAGATATACAATAGAATACTGTAGGTAGATCGACAAGTCGATCACACCAAAACAATGCCCGCAGAGGGCAATTAAGCATGAGAAAAGCCACGTGACACAAAAGGCTTCAACCACCCATATCGGACATATTACATAATAACCACATAAAAAAGCCAGATGATGAGTGGAAGTATAATTAATCCAATGGGAACTATTTCCACACTTCTAATTCTCATAGCTGTCTATAAGATGACAGGGTGGTAGATGACTACATGACGGACGTTCTAAAGATAAGCTTCATCTCTGTCCACTGATTTATATCTGCTCTGGCAATACAACATGGAACATGTGTGCTGAAGATACTCATGTGGCACAGGCAGCAGTGATGAGTTACTACATTACTTTGTGCTCCTTGTGTTTTCATTATTAAATTGCATTTTTGATATCTTATCTTAGGGATCATTTATTGGGCGATCACTGTGGTTGGTAACCTTTTTGCTTTTAATGCTTTGCTGGCGGTAAGTGCTACTCTTTACTTCTCCAAGTATAGGAATTGTTGTTGATCATCCACAAGCTTCAAGTATGGCAACATAGATTTTGGATCTCACGTCCACATATGCTCACAAATCGTCCCCCGTCACGAGGTTTGCAGGTAGCCGAAGCACACATTGATGAGCAGATCACATGAACGTGATAAAAGCCAGATGGGCTGAGTACCACAGTGTCAAACAATATCTCACTCCGGCTGCCACAGTACGGATTTAATCCACTAGTCCGCTTGCGTCACGCATTCTGCTGATACAAGGGCACAGACAGAAGTGCACCCCTTACTTCATAAATGTACGATGAAAAGAAACATATTTTATGAATATGATGCTATGTCATAGCCACAACAGGAATTCAGCAAGTCTGTAAATTCTAATAAGGAAGGGCTGGTTCTTTTTCACATTTGAAGCTCATCCCCTTAGAGCTTCCACCGTTAGCACTAATGGTAAGTGATTGGCAACTTATCCCAGCGCACAGGCCAGGAAAACAACCCTCTCCGCAGCATCTTTGACTAATCAGGGAGTAGCTGTATGGCATGGATGCTGACATATAAAACTAATGTACTGCACTTCATAAATTAATTCATCCAAAACTTTTCTCCAGTCAGGTACTGCATGCATATACAAAATAAATGGGAACAATACACTACTGAGAGAAGGGCAGAAGGGATATAAAGGACGTAGGACAATGAACGTGAATGCGACTTGAATCAGACGAGAAGAAAGCTTTGTCTGTCGCAACGGTATGTTGTAGACAACAGAAAAGGTAAGTTTCACACATGCTTTGGACTTTAGGTGTTCTACGATATATTATTTTCCATTCCTACTTGTTTTTCATTCTCTGGTTACAACAATAAGCCAGGGGATGGGTTTTTGGCCCATTTGGCAATTCCACCCGATCCCAAGCAATTTAAAGAAATTAAAGTCAGAACATGAGCCGTGCCCCGCTGCAGTGCCTTTGCCATCTCATCAACCATCTTTCATCACAATTCATAGAGTAAACACGGGTAAGTGCAATCAATAAGAGGATATCAATAATGGCCACCAAATAACATCCTGTCCAGCAAGCAAGGTCTTCACTCAACTTCAATGCACTTCATACATATGCAGGGGAATTTATAGAACATTCAAAACTTAAACCCACTGGAACATATCAAGGGGTGACATATTGTATATCATAGCAGACTGAGAAATTTGAGACAAACTAAAATAAACTGTAAAATAGGTTGTTTTAAATGATCGATTTATCAGAGGAGCCTGTTTGTTCAGCATGTACTAGATCCAGAGGTCCAGGTTTCAATGCATCCTATGAGGCATGTGTCAGAAAGTCATACTCTCTCTAAGTTGCCTCAATTCACTGCTAATAAGAGCCCATCAAAAGCCCTACGTCTCTCAATGCCCCGTGCAATTTAATTTGCAGGGGTGGTCTTACATACTACACACAAACACTCTTTCTGTTTCTGCTTGTGGACACTTGAGCATAGGATAGCAATAGACAGCAGCCATGCGCTGCTGGGTTATTGAGTCCAGAGCTGGAGGGCCTGACATGAGAGATGGCTGCAGCCTCAAAGCCCGAATTACACATTGAGGCCATGAAGCAGCAAGGATATGACAGATCATTGATCCCAGTTTTAATTTTATGGTGGCTACCTCCACATTCAAACACTTTGGTGGGCTAGTGGCCTGACCATTTAAATCAATGTCATGTCATTTAGTATCAAGCCAACACCAACTGCTTGTGCGGCTGCCCTTTCAGGGTAAAACACATTAACTTGGATTTAAAAAAAAAAAAAAAAAACTATATCTAGCTGCTGGTGAAAAACATTTGGTGCAAAGTAAAATAAAATGTTTAGCATGAATTTGGGTGCTGAAATACTGAGGTCAGAACAAACAATTTCTGGTCCTTGAGAACCAGTATCATTCCTCTTCATCATCTTCTTCATTCGTGTCTTGACAAGCTGCGTTAAACACAAGTCTTTATCCTTGAGAGGACAGTAGGAAATGTACAAAATTAAATTTGGTTCAAATGAGCAGCTTGGCCCTGGCAGTGCTCTAAATTATACAGTAACTTGCTCTAAAAAACAATGAAAACCTTTGTCTTTTTTTTTCTCACTATCCAGCTCGCCACACAATTTCAGAAAAATGTATAATCAAAACATAATTTCAGAATATTATTCATCAATCACATAAAAACAGGGTTTAAAAACACAATAAATTGATTGTGATGGTCCACGACGAATATTTAGTCAAATCTCTGGTACGTCATTATGCATTATCGTAAGGAGCAACAAGCATGCAAATATGCATATGGTGTGTGTGTGTGTGTGTGTGTGTGTGTGTGTGAGAAATTCATGTGAAGAGGGAGCAGAAGAACCTGGCTAATGTAATCCCATTACGGAGGTACAAGAGGGAGCAGTCACAGTACTCAGCCCACACAATGGGCCGGCCTGCAGCCTGTAGCCATCCAATGGATGAATGCTTTCTGCCATGCAGATGGATCATCACACAGCAGCAGCAGCAGCAGCAGCAGCAGTCCCGCATGCCCAAGGCCTGAGGTGGAACTCACTCGCACGGCCGGCCATTACAGTTGTAATAGGCAGTTGTTTCCAAATGAAATGGACTGTGTGGTTAGTGTTACTTCCTTACTAGACATTCGACCTGTCATGTCCGAAACCTTTTATTTTAGCACACAATTTATTCCACAAGTGGGCTATTAACTGCTTCATGTTGACTAGAAAATACACGGTAAATGTACTTTTTTTTTTTTTTTTTGCATTACGAGTTAATAGCATACCGTAGTCTAACAATGGATCTCCACTTAAGTGGACCTGGCGAAAACAAGAGCAAACCCGTCTAAACAGCAGGTCTGAGATTAAAAGAGTGCTGTACTGCTGAGGGACTGTAGCCAGGCACCTTTTTAAACCCATTTTTGCTGTGTTCAATTTCATTATCGGAAAAAATATCCGTTCCCGCCTTCAGCTCCTTTGCTGTGTGGGCAGGACTCCTGGACACAGACGAAGGGGGCTGATAAAGACAGAATTGATTCCAGCCAGCAGCCTTAGTGTCAGGGTTTAGTTTAGTCCTGCAGCTAAACGGCTGTTTTTTTCCCCCTCCGTCTGTCTCTTTCTCTCTTGCCTGCTCGTCTGAAGGCAAGTTGTCACTGAGGCAACATCAATCTCCCGCCTCATGATTTCTTAAAGCCTGCCTTCTCCCTTGATGCCTTATCACTTCATCTGCAGGCGAGATTAAAGAGGTCACCTTCCAAGTTTCTGCAAACTAACTAACAGGTTTACTCAATTACAGTATAGGTTTTAAGTACCGGTCAGGTTGGGGTTGCTCATCGACAATGTTTTTCGAATAACTATTTGTGAGACTCATTCGGGTCAAAGGTAAGCGGATCATATCCTGTCTGACTTTGCACAAGAGACTACTAGGTACACACCCTGCATTTTTATAAGGAGTTTATGAGAAAACGCCCCTGAGACACACTCATTGAACGGCAGATGAAAATATATCATATTTGCAATGTAGTTCAGAGTGATTGATATTTAAGTTTTCGGTATATTTGGGGTTGCAAAAAAAAAAAAAAAAAAAAAAAAAAAAAACAATTAAAACCTGATTTGGGTATTGTACAGCGAACAAGATCGAGCAAAAGCAAACAGATGCTCCGTCATTTTTATGTCAGGTCATCTCCTTTAGCCTCATACATGAGTGTTTGCGAATGTGGAAAATGTAGGAAGAATCACAATGCAGTTTGCCTCAAAAACAGGATAAGAGTGTATGATAAAATGGGACAATAGGAATGAAAGTCATTTTGCTATGAGTCCACCCATGCTCCAGTGAGCTTCTCGTTTCAAAATAGATGAAGAAAGCTGGGCCCGAGGACAGCAGTGAGATATGCAGGCAACCCGCACATATCTGATGATGTAAAGGCCTGCCTTCACATTCTGAAGAGAGCGCAATTTTCAAGCTAGACTTTTATAATTGTATTTTTTTTTCCTTCCAAAAGGCCCTACAGCTAAACTGGTGTGATCCATCTGAAGTGGCCAGTGTAGTAATGGGTCATAGTGATGCGCTCATATTGGTAATGGCTTAATTGTGTTATCAATCTCATCCAGACGGTGCTTTAGCCCCACAGCTCTGGCCCTGCGACTGTCAAACGCCATGCATTCGTACGGGGAGAAACTGCCCTCCTTACTTTCATCGGTTTCACAAGCTTAAAATGGTGGGTTAGCTGTAAGTTTGTGCCAAGTAATTCGTTTCATGCCAGCGTTTGACAAGTTCATGAAGTTGAACCTAAAGGGACTGAAGACAGGCACGCCGCAAAGGTGACT